TTGTTTCCCCCCTCTTTTTTACATGGACCTTTTAATTTCCCTTCATTTAGTTTGTTTCACTTGGTTTAATCCTGTTTATTCATTCCACAAAGTCACAGGTACAGTATAAGCAAGCACTCCGAGGGGCTCGCTCCATAAATTCCTGTGTGCCTCTCAAGACAGAGACCAGGGCTTTTCACCTCAGTCTCTCTCTGGATGTGATCAGACAACCAGAGAGGATTGGGTCTGATCGTACTGGAAAGGGTCGCTTTGCTGGGAGGGATCTTCCTTGAAATGACCCTTCCCTCCATGTGGGAATCATTCCAGCCCAGGCCCCCAAAAAGGAGTCGTCCAAAAAGGTCCAGCTGGGTCAAGCAGGAGTGCCTTTCTCCCCATGACTTGTGGGGTCGCTGGGAAACAGGGAGCACCAGACCGCTCTGCAAGCCATCCAAATTGTGATTGGTTTCCTGTGCCTTCCCACCGTTAGAAGGGATATAGGTTGACTTTTCTTCCACAAGACTTAACAGGGATCTCGAGATCCCAAAGAAGACAGATGGGTTGTTTTTCTGCATAAAAGCAAGGGAAGTTCTGACAACGGTCAGCAGAGAAGCTGCTGTTTCATGAGCTTAAAGCCTAGTAACACCCTTGAACTGGTAGGATCAAGAAGAGGCAGCCTGTCCTCTCACCAGTTTCTTTCAACAACAGAAATCCAGCCAGCTCTCCTTTCAGGAAGCCCATCAGCCTTCATCAGCCTCCTTCTGATTCTTGAGACTTCTCCTCTGCCCTCGTAGAAATCTGTGCTCAGCCTGGCTGAGATCAGATCCCACCGGAGCATCTCCAAAGTCTTCCTTACAGAGTGAGCAGCCACCCAAAGTCACCCAGTGCTTTAGGGCTGTTCACTTCATGTTACTTTTGCCAGTGAAATTCACTGGGCAGGCCTGATTGTCTGTGAAAAAGCTGCACCATCTTGCGGTTCAAAATTGCAGGTTCATGTTTTTCTTTCCCTGCTAATGCTTTCATTTTTCGCTCCAGCTTTCTTCGCCTCTTCGTCTCTCACAAGCAGGATGACAAGCCATTGCTTTCCTGCTGTACCTTTTAAAGACATTCCTCAAACTAATTTTACTCTACAGTTAAGAGTGACTTAACCTCTTTCCACACGAAGGCTGAATTCATTCTCCCAGATGTTTGGGGTGGGGAGCGGGATAAAAAATTGTCGATATTTGAGGCTTAAAACTGTTGCTGCTGGTATCTACGTCTCAGGAAAAGCCTTTTCGGACTTTGGAAGCAGGAAGATCTCCTCTTCCTTGGCAAAACTTGGGAAAATGACCAAGCGACAGAAGCACCAAAAGGAAGGGTGAGTGGATTTCGGGGGGGGGGCACGCGCGAAGACTCCAAGGAAGCTCCAAGGAACCTCCTCCTCCCTGACCCACTGCCATCCTGTTCACCCGAGGCTTTGCAGAACCAGACTTCCCTTAACATTTTTGGATGGAAGCATGCAAACCAAAAGTGTTACCCCCTGAACCCTCATGACAGGGGCGGGGGGCAGCAATTAGCCCGTCAGCTAAAGCAACCTCAGGAAGCTGCTCCAACTCTCTGAGCCTGCCTGCCCTTCGGCCCTGGCCAAACCAACCAAACCCTCCTCATCCAATGGGGGGGGGTTTGCCCCAACTGCTTCCCACCGCTGGAATCCAGACTCCCTTGTAAAAGCGGGACTTCAAGCAGCCAGTCCTTCGCCCAGATGGGCCTCGCATGCCAGAGTGGCCACGAACTGAAACCACAGGGTGTGGCGCCAGCGCCAGGCCCCCAGCGCCCTGGCTTCCCGGCTGCGCTTGAACTACTGCTTCTACAGAAATGAGGGCTGCTGCCACACCGACGCTCCTGTGGAATTGCTATAACTTGTTTACTCATTTTTAAAGGCAGAATCGTTGCTCAATCGCGGCTTCCTCTTTGGCACAGCTGGAGGAATGAGCAGAAACTGGCCTTTTGCTGCTTTTTAATACTTCCCTCCGCTGTTTAAAATAGGGCAGGGGAGAGCACAGTCAATAAAATTCAAAGGAAATGTAAGTTGACCGATGGAGGGACAATTAATCATTAAGCCCTTCAACTGCACCGAACAGGAAGTGATCAAGCCTGCCAGGCGGAAGCTGCTAATTAATATTGCAGAGGGCCTCTGCTGAACAGGACAAACCCTGGGATGGCCATCAAACGGGCAGCTGTGCAGAACCACCAGTGCTATCCCGCTCTGCTCTGCTGTGTGTGGGCAGGCAGCGCCTCAGCAGCACTTCAGGACCTCATTATGGATGCAACCTACAGTTTCTATGCTCTGAATTAGTACCTCAACCTGGTTGGAGACTCACGAATCCTCCTACAGCCGGGCTGGTGGACAACTAGAGAAGACAGAACCCAAGATGCTCCTGGCAGGCTGCAACACCGAGCGGAACCTAACACCATGACAGTCATCCTCCTCCATGGTTCTCCTTTGACATTCTTGTGGATCCATGAGCTTCACACTGAATTTGGATTGCCGTTGCCTCTAGGTTTTTTTTTGTTCATTTTTAGTATTTATGTAGTTGTGGGTGGTGGGTGGTGGGTGGGTAGTTGCTATCTATTGTTATCCATCAAGAGTAGTGCCTTGACATTAGATGGGCAGGCTAGATATGCAGTCAACTCACCCACCCACCCAACCAACCAAGGTAAACACAGAACCCAGAATTTAGCTACAGATAAAGTAAATGGCTTACAAATTTATCTATTTATTTTAAATATTTTACCCCATCTTTCTCCTTAAAAAGGATCCAAGGAAGCTTACATTATTAAGAGACAATATTTAATGCCAAAAATAATAAGTATGTAAAACACTACAAAGGATCCAACAAACACCACTCTGAGAAATGATAGACAAACAAACAATACTAAAAACACATTGAAAGCAGTAAGGCACAACAATCCATTGGGGGGAAAAACCCCACTCAGACAGCCAGTCACTCCGAGAACCCTTGCCTAAAAAGAAAGGCCTTTGCCTGCTTTCAGAAGGACAAGTAAAGACGGGGCCAGGCTGGCCTCCAGTGGGAAGGAGTTCTGGACTCTGGGAGCAGCGACGGAGAAGGCCCTCTCCCGTGACCCCCACTAAACGGGCCCCTGTGAAGGTGGTGGGAGCGAGAGAAGGGCCTCCCTCGCCTGATGACCTTCACACTCGAGTAGGCTCCTAAAGGGAGATGAGGTCGTCCATTGAGGGCTGCATAGGTTAAAACCAGCCCTTTGAATTGTGCCTGGAAACGGACTGGTACCCATCGCCGTGGGTTCGTGTGATCCCTGTAACCCCATGCAATCTGGCTGCCACGCTCCGGAGCCGCTGACATTTCCTGACACTTCTTGAATGGGATCAAGGAAGGAGACCTTCTTGGGCAGCAGAATCTCTCAGAAGGATCCGGGAGTTAGTTACAGAAGCTCAAACAGTCGCCGCCGCCACCGTGGGCTCCATCCGCAAAAGCCATCGTGTGCCCGCTGCGCCTGTTAGGGTGTGGCACTAGGTCCAGTTCAGAATGCCACGTTTTACAAAGGACATGAACAAATCGCAAAGCACTCCCATAAGGATGCTTTGTTGGGGGTTTGGAGGTTGGGAATCAAGTCCTGGGAGGAATGAGTGGCTGGAAAATTCAGGCTCTGTTTAGCCTGGGGAAGAGAAGGTGAAGGGGAGATGATGGGAGGGGTGTGTCTTCAAAGGGAGAGGGCCAGGGGTAAGGGCTCGCCCGCCTCCCCCACCTCATCCGTGGCAGCTCCCCTCCTTTTTAATGACCTGAGCCTGAACATCTGTCTCATGAAATTCACATTCAGGGTAGGAGTCTCTGAAACAATGCGAGGAGAAAAAGGGGGGCTGTACAAGGAAAGAGGCGGGCTAGGTTTTGAACCAAAACATGAAGTCCAAGAAAATTAATCTTTAAATATAAGAGGCCGAGCTGACTTTCTACGTTTGTGTTCATTGCAGAGCACCGGGGTGGGGGGTGGGGGGGAGAGGTTCCTGCACCAGGAGTGCCATTTTCAAGAAGGCAAGTGAAGCAGGTATGAGGGGGTAAAGCAAACTGAACATTGAAAACTAACAATGAACAGTGTCCAGATGGCCGTCCCCGCAGACTGCTTAACCAAGTTCTCCTCTGGCATCACTTTTCGAGTGGTTAATGCCCCCTCCCCCATCAGCTTTCTTCACTGTCCAGTGTTCACCCTCAGGCAGAGGCCTTTCCCTCAGTCCCACAACCCCACCAGTGAGCTGGGTGGTGGGGGAGGCAGAGGAGAGAGGGCCTTCTCTGTGGCTGCTCCCAGACTGTGGAACCCCTTGCCACTGGAGGCCAGTCTGGACCCATCTTTGTGGTCCTTCTGCAAGCAGCAAAAAGACCTTTCTCTTCAGGCAAGCCTTCCCTGAGTGACCGGCTGCCGGAGTGGAGGTTTTTAAGCGGCTGGTTCTGCCTTACTGCTTTGAATGTGTTTTCAGTGTTGCTTTTTTTCGCCCCACTGGTTTTTAGTGTGGTGTTTGTTAGTTCGGTCTTCTTCATGTTCAACTGCAGTCCTGCTCTGTCCCTTTCTTCTTTCACTTTTCCCCCGCCCGTCTTTTCAAGTCCTTCTGCCTCTCTTAGAGAGAAGAAGCCCTTTCTCTTCAGGCAGGCTAAGAAAAGGGTTCTAAAATGGGCTGGCTTGTGTCTTTCTTGTTTTTTAAATACATTTTATTAATTTTTAAAGAAGATTTGAATCATGAGGTTTATTTGTAATGTGTTCTCGAAGGGATCCGATGGCTGTTGTAACGTTTATTGATTTATTAATGTAAGGCTTATTTTCCTCTTATTTTAAAATCTTTGTTCATACTGTAGCTTCCAAAGGTGGCCTCTTTAAGGACGGAATGGTAACCCCCTTCCCCACGAGCACCACCAGGCGCGCGCCCGCGGCTCGTCCTTCTCGCAGGGGGCGCGTCCAAGTCCGGGAAGAGCTCTTCACCATAGAGAAGGGAGGCCGGCGGGCAGAGCGGCACCAGCGCGGGCCGGAAATGCGTCCTTTCGTGCGTGCGGCGTTTCCTGCGGGGCCCCTCCCTGGTGGCGCGACTCTCTCGCCCCGACGGAAGCCGGGAAGGACGTGGCTCCAGGTTGACCCAAGCGCCAGGTGAGGAGGGGGGGCGGCGGCGCGGTTGGCGGACTGGTGTCTTTTTGTGTTTTTTTGCTCGGCGCGCCCCCTCCTCCCGGCTGACGGCTTTCCCTCCCCAGGATGGTGACGGACGTGCAGCTGGCCATCTTCGCCAACATGCTGGGCGTCTCGCTCTTCCTGCTGGTCGTCCTCTACCACTACGTGGCCGTCAACAACCCCAAGAGGCAGGAGTGAGCGAGCGAGCGAGCGAGCGCAAAAAAACAGCCAGAACAGATTAATTGGTTTTCAGTCCATTGCTTCAAAATTAGCTTCGTCAGAAGTGC